CACTCTCAGGCTTGCACTGAGCAGCTCCATGTGGGATACCCCACTGCCCAGGCTCCCCTGCCCAGGGGCCATGTTTCACCTCTGGCCTTATCAGCAGCCCTGCTTTTGCTGCTCCCTGGAAGTTAAGAATTAGGAAATGTATCGGTTTTCTTCTCTTGAATTATGATTTTAGGGTAGCCAAAGCTCTCAGGAGTTTTGCTTCTCCAAAAGACTATGTATCTCCTAGTTTATATTGGTACATTTCTATGGAAAGCAGGAGAATTATGTTTTATTTAACCTGAGAAAGGGTCTGGTCAGTTATTGCAGACCCTGTTCATCAAATATTTTTTTTCAGAAGCTCTATTAACTGAGAGTTACATCCCTCAGATCGGAAGTTTAAAATGTCTGTCATAGTTTGTGCCGGACTGGCCATTGAATGGAACAACAGATGCTCTCCCCAACCTCTCTTTCCAAGGAGAGGAGGGAGAGTGAGAAAGAGACTTATGAGTTTAGAAGAAACTACTTTAATGAAATATTACTAAAATAATAAAAAGAAAATAATGAAATTATATACAATATATGCAAAACCGTATCAAACTCCCAGAATTATGATCATGTCACTGGCATGCACTGGGGAAGTCCCAGGCTGGACTCAGCAACAGATGGGAACTGGATTCCAGATCTGGATTCAGGAATACATGAATCAGGATCAAAGGCAGATGAACAGAGTCCACATCAGAAGGCCATTGGAGCCATTGAAGAAGGAGGCTGACCCTTTTGATCCCTCAGCTTTTATACTCAGAATGATGAAGATGGGATGGAATAACGCGATAGGCAGTCTTTGGACACCTGTCATGTCCATTCTTCCCTCAGGTGCGACCCCTCTACCATCTTCCGCTTCTGACCCTCCAACAGGGCATAGAGCAAAGAATCAGGATCAAAGGCAGATGAACAGAGTCCACATCAGAAGGCCATTGGAGCCATTGAAGAAGGAGGCTGACCCTTTTGATCCCTCAGCTTTTATACTGAGTATGATGTAGATGGGATGGAATACTGTGTTAGTCAGTTTTGGGTCACCTGTCCTGTCCATTCTTCCCTCAGGTGCGACCCCTCTACCATCTTCCGCTTCTGACCCTCCAACAGGGCATAGAGCAAAGTTAGCTGACTTTGGTTGTTATAACAATAAGTATAAGCAAGAGCCTCTCTGCATATCATTCCTTGGCATAAACTATAAACACAAGCCTTACCACTCTTGAAAGTGAACAGTTTCAGCACAATATGCTGTTAATTTCAGAGAGTTCAGTTAGTTCAAAAGGCTTAGCTGCAAAGTAAAATTACCGAATGGAAAATTCGTCCTGTTTTACCTCAAACCAGGACAAAAAACTGGTTAAAACATAACATATGGGAAGCTATATCACATGAAAGTAAACAATGATCTAACTCATGATCCTGTTTCTGGGTATGTGCTGTAGTGGATGCTTTGGAAAATAAGACAGTATATATTGCTTTTCTTTTTTTTTCCTTTTTTTTTTTTTTTTTTTAGCTTTGCAAATCATTCCAAATACAAATCATTGCAAATCTTGTAATTTCTGACAAGACTCAGTGTCAAAACTCTGTCATCAACACACATCTGAAAAAGTCAGAATGCAAACAGTAGAACTCCATATTATCTGGTTTTAATAGAAAATGCATAGAAAAGGACAAAGATGATCCAAAGGTTTTAGGGAAGCTTATGGAACAATTCTTAACAAATTTGTCTTGTCCTTTTTGAACATATTTATGCTTCTAGCTTTCACATCCTGTGATAATAAGCTCCCCAGTTTACCTATGCAGTGCCTGGGAAAAGGTGTTCTTGATGTTAGTTTTGAGTTACTGCCTGACTATTTAACTGAGTGTCCCCTGCTCCTTTCATTGGGAGCTAATTCATGAGGAACAATTCCTTACAGTTATTCATGGTGTTTGTGATTCTCTCTGCAGAGAAGCTATTTTAACCACGTAATGAAATTGTTTCTATATGGTTTTGTTTTTTTCTTTGATACTTTACTCTGTTTTCAATTCCCTCCGTGTTGCTAAGCTTTAAACCACTGTTCTCATTTTTTCAAAAGAACATGGTAAAATGTGAATTTTCTCTGAAAAGTCCAAGTGTCTATCTCTTTTTCCAGTGGGTTCAAATTTTGCTGCCATTCCTTCTAGGAAGAGAAGTTGTGCCTCTCTCCATTCTTCCCAGGAAATACTCACTAATGGTATTTCAGAATATTCAGATAACTGGGAAAAAAACATTATATGTGTATATGATACATTAAAGGGATTGTTTTATGCTGTAGGCTTCCTCCTTTTATATTTTATGCCCTGGTGTTAGTGGAGCAGTCTACTGATTTCTCCCTCTAACTGTTCTAAACCCAGAGGTTGTTGTTATAGTTCTGGTATATTTTGGATTAAGCTCTGAAAAAAAACAAGAGGTCTTTCAGCAAGGTTGTCTCTTTCCTTTCAGGTAAAAAAGAGGTGGTAAAAAAACATTCCCTATGTATACAGATGTATTTAAACTACGAAGTTGCATGTTTGCTAAGTATGTGCTGTGTTTTGTTTTTTCTTTTGAAGAAACCAAGTTTCACCTCAACTCAGGATTAGATTCTGAAAGCAAAAATAGCACTTTTCATCTAAGAAGTAAGGCAGACAGCTGGAGGATAATCTTAGATCTTCCCTTCTTTTCAGTACCTTTTATTTGCTGAATAGAAAACTTACTGTAATCTGAGCCAGTCATTTGTCTATGAAATGTTCTTAAAAATCCTTAAAAAAGAAATATCATGGTATTCCAATTGCTTTTCCACTGTACCACTTACAATACCTTTTCTTTAAAAATAAATTTATTTTAATTCACATAATTCATTAATTCACTCTGCTTTCTCCTTAATACCTCTAATAATTTATTTCTGAATCTTAGATTTGCTTAAGATAAACTGAGTCTTCTAACATTCTGGAACAGTAGAGACCATCCTAAAAAATATTCAACATTTTGCCTTGATTTTCTTCTAACAGTTTCAAAAGAAAACAATATATAACCTGGAGAAGTTATCCAAGTGCTGAATTACTTTGGGAGATTTTCTTTTATCACTTAAAGTACTCAGTGAACTTTACTTCATGCAACAGTGGAAGACTATAGCACAAAATCCTGAGTCATCTTTGAAGATAATTTCTCATTTCCTGTCTCATGAGAAGGATGACTGTTTCTCTTTTTTCTACCTTTACTTTGTATGTTTTAAAGTTCGATCGTACTAGAGTTAATAGAAGGCATTATTTAATGATTTATTTTTAAATGGACAAGTAACAATATCAGTAGAGATATCTGAAATAACAGGTCCTTTCATAATATCCACTGTATTGCAGTAAGGCAAACATAAACTACCAAAATGGAAAAATCTTCTTTTGCAGAAAGCACGGTGCTGAAAAAATCACACTTCTAAAAATGAATTGATGTTTTCTTCCTTGTCCCATGCATCTTCAACCTGACAGTATTGATAGATACCTTTAACATCTAACTTCTTTGATGGTTTAAGGTAATTCAGGCAAGACTTTCCTTTGAGCGAACATATTAGTCATTCACTCTTTCATCATCTCGATTCTGTTTTTATATTTCCTTCTCCTAGATTTTTTTATTTTCAGAAAAAAATCCCTTGGCAGTAGAGTGCACTATGTTTCTTTTCTGCCTCTCCAATAGAAATTGTCTGAAACAAACTTTGACTAGACAGTGACATCTTTAACTGATTCTTACATTACTACTTTCTCCTGCCGGGCTTGTTGCAACTAATAGTACATCCCCAGAAGATTTTCTTTGCTCTCTTGTAGTTGTGGGTGAAAGTAACCTAGGTGTGACATAAGAAAAGTGCAGTAGGAGGAAATAAATTCAGGCCTTTCTGATTACTGGAGAAAAATCAGTGAAGCCGCAGATCATGACCTCAGCTTTTCCTTGGAAAGGGAAGATTCAGTTGCAAGAATGGAAATAACTTGTGAGCAGAAGATGAGAATGCAGGTGATAGATGAGGTGATAAAGCAGGGTGCAGGAGAGATTAACACATTTAGTTTTCTTCAATAGAGAGCACATTCTTAAAATACCTACTTTTCCGCAAAAAAAACCTCCAAACTCTTGCCACTCTTTTAGTTGGTACCATTAATATTTCCCAAAAATGTATTTAAAAAAAAATGAAAGAAGAAAGTAAATAAAGAAGTTAAAAAAAAAGGCCTTAGTGGCCTTCCCCTTGAATCTTAAAAAATAAGCGCTCAACACTCTCATTCACACTGTCAAGTTCGAGGCATTCCAAACTGCCCCTCACAGAGAAGGCCACCCCACCGCCTCTCCTTCCTTGCCTATCCCTTCCGAAGAGTTGGCAGACATCTGTCACAGCCCTCCAGTCGTGCCAGTCTTCCCACCGCGTTTCTGTGGTGGCAAATCTATCCTCCCTTTCCTGCTGTACAGTGGCCTCCAGCTCCTCCTGTTTGTCGCCCACACTGCATGCATCCATGGAGATGCACTTCAGCTGGGCTAACTGTCCTGCCACTTTTTGAGGGGGACAAGACCTCATTCCCACCCGAGCTTGCGCTCAGACACTTGTCTAGTTACCAACCTAATCACTACCCCTCATGTCTTCGCTACCACATGAATCACCGTTGCCCACCTCCACTGAGACCAAAGACTGCAAGAGCTAGATAGCACTTTTAGCCACAAACCCTGGGAAGCCAAAGCCCAGGGACTCGCAAAAGCAGAATCCGCTGCAGTGGCTCTTCTGCAACATGCTCCCCGACTCTGTGGCAGCTGAGCCGCCAGCACCTGACGCCCACCTTCGCCAACAAAGTGATGCTCAGACTCTCACAGACAGCCTTAGTTCCAACAAGTGATCTATTGAAACATATTTACAGAGGGTAAAGATCACCAAGGGAAGGGACTCGGGAACAGGAAGGGCAATCGGTGTCCAGGGGGCAAGGGGAGTGAGTCTCTGTTTCAAGGCAGGCTCCTGGCAACGGCCCCCTCAGCTGAGGAAGACGTAGGAGTCGCCTTGCTTTACTCCAAAGAGCATCTCGATACCGATGGTACGGCCGGAAGCGTGCGTCAGCCGGAGGTTGCAGCAGTGCCTGGAGGGCAGCACCGTCAGACGGCAGTGTGTCGACTGAGGCATAACCGCCCAGGCGCTTTTCAGCAACACCTGCAGCCAGCGGGAGGTTTTCTCAGTGTCCAAGTAGGGGCCGGTGCAGAGGGTGCGCAGGAGGCTGGGACCCTGTCTGTCCCTCAGCTCCTTCTCGGGGTGGTGGAGGAAGCACAGCATGTCTTCGGCCAGCGGCTCCCTCATGCACGTGCATTGCAGCTCAACGCGGAGGCTGGCCTTCCTCTCTGGTGTGTCCTTGGTTCTGGCGCCCGTGTCCACGTGGAAGGCATGGCCACGAGGCGGCTTCAGGGGCACAAGGAAACGGTAGGTGGCATCCTCCTCACAGCCACTCCACCCTCCGAGGCTGCTGCTCACCCCGATGACTGGCCTTGCTTCCGGCATGAAGCTGTTCCTGGACAGTTTTCCACAGATGTGCAGAAGCTCGTCCACCAGCTCCTCCACCATGGTGAAGGACTCTGAGAGGTCCAGGAGTCGCCGGGCCGAAATCCTGTGGGACTTTCCTTTGGATTCCTCCTCCTCTTCGGCCGTGTCCTTGGTGGTGGCCTCCTTGCTGCTGCTGCTGCCTGGCCGGCGGCTCCTTGTCCTGAGCCAGCAGCAGAGCCCCAGGAGCAGGAGGAGGAGGAGAAGAGCAGCAGTGGCCCAGAAGTGCCATTGCTGCAAGGCAGGGAGGAGCAGGGTTGCCCAGGCAGCGGCAGCCTGCTCCAGCCCCTGCAGGAGCTGCGTCACCTGCTCTCGCAGGGACGTCTCCCACTGCTCCACGCGCTCTGGCGTGGCCTCATGCAGCGCAGGAGCCAGCATCTGCTGGAAGAAGCTCTGCAGAGCCTGGAAGAGCACTAGCCCTGTGACAGCCATGGCCTGCAGGAGGAGAGAGAGAAGGGTCTCAGTGGGGCTGGGAGGGAGCTGGCAGTGGGGGGAGCAGGGCCGGGAGCTAGGGGGGAGGCAGTGGGGAGGCAGCAAGGCCTGCGCCCAGCGCCGCCGGCGGCACCGTGCCCGGCCCCAGGCGCTCCCGCCAGCGGCTGGGCCCTGCATGAGAACCCACCTCCCGCCCCGGGGACCAGTGTTTCTGCCCCGGCCCTCTGCCAGCCCAACCTCCCCCCGCCAGCAGCTCACTCACCATCGTCCTGGGCTCGAATGGCTCAGCGCTGCCCGACGGGGCCCTTTATAGGGGGCCCCCATTGTGACGCCTTCCCTCAGGTGTCCCAGGTGCCAGAGCACATCACAGGCCCCCCCGGCAACCACGGAATCACAGAATCACCATGGTTGGAAGGGACCTCTAGAGATCACCTAGTCCAAGTGCCCTGCTAAAGCAGGATTGCCTAGAGCACAATACTCAGGACTGCATCCAGGTGGATCTTGAAAACCTCCAGCAAAGGGGACTCCACAACCTCCCTGGGCAGCCTGATTCAGTGCTCTGTCACCCTCACCATGAGGAAGTTTTTTCTCACCTTTGAACGGAACTTCCTGTGTTCCAGCTTGTGCCCACTGCCCCTCATCCTCTCACTGGGAACCACTGAAAAGCCTCAGGCACCATCCTCCTTGAATCCACCCTTTAGATACTTGTAAGCATTCCTAAGGTCTCCCCTCAGTCCCCTCTTCTCCAGGCTCAAGAGTCCCAGCTCTTTCAGCCTTTCCTCATAAGGGAGATGCTCCAAGCCCTCAATCGTCTTGGTTGCCCCACGCTGGACTCTCTCCAGCAGTTGCCTGTCTCTCTTGAACTGGGGAGCTCAGAACGGCACGCAGTCTTCCAGTTGCCCCTACGTCCCGGTGGGGGGGTCTAGAACAAACTCCCACCATGTCTGCCTTAGTGGCCTTCCCCTTGATTCTTACCCATAAGCGCTCAACACTCTCATTCACATTGTTAAGTTCGAGGCATTCCAAACTGCCCCTCACAGAGAGGGCCACCCCACCACCTCTCCTTCCTTGCCTAGCCCTTCTGAAGAGTTGGCAGCCATCTGTCACAGCCCTCCGGTCATGCCAGTCTTCCCACCACGTTTCTGTGATGGCA